CGGCTATTCGAATAGATATTGATAACCCTGCAGGGGTGTACTTCTTCACACACGCTCTCACCACTTATAGCCCTGTACACGTCATGTACCTCGGCAACCTTCAAGCGGAAACCGGGCGAGGGTGTCGGCCACGGCCTACCTAAACACTTAAGTCTCTAGTCCAGGTTTATCGCCTATTCAGGTTCCATCCGCGAGGAGATCCGGCCGGAGTTTCGCTCACAGCCCCAAACGATGTGTGCAGGGTTCCCGAGACACCAAACGGGCGCCCGGTACACCGTGCCACAGTGTATCTACCGCAACATAGCCCACCCCTAGGGTCAGCGCTACGCACGGCCGCCAACACATATCCTACAAACACCAGAAACTAGTTGCAACTCCTGGACAGAGTACTAGGGTGATTAAGAAGCCGAGAGGGGCCATTGGTTTCGGGCCCAATGCGTGGTAGTAACTGTTCATGGATCACAGACACAGAACTTAGTTCCTGAGGACGGCTGCAATGAGACAACCCACCATGTACTCCTACATGGCCTCTCACCGCTACCTTTACCAAATCGTGTTCACACACTTAGCTCTCAACAGTAGGACATGTTTACACACCTCCGATCCATCCCCGATGAATCAGACCTGACTCAACTCTAAGCAGTAGCAGGCATGACAAACAAGCATGAATGAGTAGGCACATCAGGGCTCAAACAACTCCTACTCATGCTAGTGGGTTTCATCTATTTACTGTGGCAATGACAGGTCATGCAGAGGATAAGGGGTTCAACTACCGCAACAAGTAACAGATGAATCGTTGTTGTCCTAATGCAATAAAAGAGAGCAGGAGCGAGAGAGGGGGATTGTATCGTAATGAACAAGGGGGTTTTGCTTGCCTGGCACTTCTGAAGATATCATTGGGTCTTCATCAGTGTCAACGATCACATCGTCGGTACAACGTCTATCGAGAGGGGACAAATACCGGCAACAGAGAAAGAAATACAATCAATGCAATGCACAGTATGATGCATGATCATGACATGTCAATATGCTGTGGTTTGAGCTAATGCAACTAGCTATGATTTAAATGAGGTTGGTTTGAGTGCAAGATTCAAATTCCAACCCCATATATGATTATTTAAATGCCCTTTATTTGTTTTGTCCAAAACAGAGGACAAACATTGTTCAAACATGCATGAAAATGGTACAGATGGATTCCTTGAATTTTTCTGATAATTTTACATATATAATTTATCTTATTTGGAGTTACGGTTGATTTTCTATGATTTTTAGAAGTTTTGGGTAATTTCTGGAATTTCCTGAATTGTTTTTAAACTAGAAAATGATTTACTGCATCAGCCCGACGTCAGGGTGACGTCAGCTGGTCAACTGGGCGGCCCTGGGTCAAACCTGACCCGTGGGGTCCACTGGTCAGTGACCCAGTGCTGGTTAGGGTCGCTGACGTGTGGGCCCGGTCAACTGCCTCGTCAGCGAAGTCAACCTGACATGTGGGCCCGGTGGGTTAGTCTAAGTTAAACAGGGAATGAATCCGGGGTTAATTAGCGCGTGGGGCCCATCCGTCAGTGGCACAGTGATCAGCTAATGGCGTCATTAGCGTTAACTAAGTGTGCCACGTTGGCTCGCCGGAGTTTCACCGGCGACGACCAAAAACGCGGCGGAGACGCATCGGGGTGGCTCGGGTTTCGCCTACCGTGCACCGTTCGATGCGCCCTTTGGCCCTACGGAGAGCTGGCGCGATGGCGCGTCAGATGGTGGTGGTCTCCGGGCCAGGGGTGGCCGGAGTCGACGGCGGCGAGCTCGATTGCGGCCGCCGGAGTTCGGGCGCCGATGGATTCGTCGCTACGGTGGTCAGGGGAGCGAGGTAAACAGTGCTATGGCCTCCTGGGTCCGCCTGGAGCTCGTCTACGAGCTCGGACGTGATGGCGCTAAGCAGAACGACGGCGGCGAAGAGGTGCGGCGGCGGCGAGCCTCGGCCATGGCGGGGGATGGGGCTAGAGCATGCGAACGCGAGGGAGAGAAGAGGGGTTCAGGGCAGGGGCTCACATCGAGTCAAATGAGCGCGAGAGCAGGGTCGGGGACGCGTTGGTTGTCGCGAATCGCCGGCGGCGATCCACGGCGGCCGAGTGCAAAGACGGCGATTGTGGCGACGAAGCAGGGCCTCCGGGCATTGCGTAGCTCGGTGGAGAGGGCGAGGAAGACGTGGCGGGGCTTCTGGGCGCGTCGTCGGAGCGTGGGGTGGCCGGTGGCCGCGGCAGAGCACGGCGGCGTCCTCTGGTGCGCTCGGGAAGAGAGGGGGAGGAAGCCAGAGGAGGGGAGGAGCTGCGGGTGTGAGAGAGAGGTAAGGGGAGGGGGCGCGTGGCCGTCTCCGTGGCGCTGGGAGAGACCAGGGGCGAGGAAGCAGGAGGTGGCGTCCGGTGCGTGCGCGGGCGACACGCCGTCGTCCTCCTGGCAGGAGCTAGGGGATGACTGGCAACGGCCTGGTGGGCTGGGCTGGTCCAGCTGGGCCGGCTACAGGTAAGTGGCCAGGTAGGTTCCTTTCTCCCTTTTTTGTGTAATTTAATTCTATTTTCTATTTTGCAAGTTTGTTTTGAATTTGGTTTTGAAGCCAAATCAATTTTGTTGCTTCTGGAAATATTTTTAGAAGCTAAAGGGATTAAACCAAAGCTCCACAAAAATATTTCAGAATTATTAGACCTATATTTATTTAATAGTAAATATAAATCCAATTCAAATAGCTATTGATTTAATTCAAATGCCCAGAATAAATATTTCTGTGAATCCAAAAATGTTGGTTTGAATTTTACCTCTTGCCAATATTTTTATAGCTTAACAGGAACATTTTCTTAGGTTATTTGAAGCAATTTTTAATGTTGATCATTTTTTTAATTGATTTCTGGGGCTTTCAGCTTTCTCCAATTCAACTTTCAAAAATTTAGACATGATGTAAAGCCAGATGCTAGCACTGGGCATTAATAGAACTAGGGATGTGACACATACTTTCATCGACGTCACCACAGAGCTTTGGCACCAGCGACTTGGGCATCCAGGACCTGATTCATTGTCTCACACTTTAGCGTCTTTTGATTTTTCATGTAATAAGTCTCTCCCTACAACATGTCATGCCAGTAAGCCAGGTAAACATGTCGGTCTTCTGTTAAAAAAATTCAGAGTCTAGGGCTAGCTTTGCTTTTGGACTTCTACATTGGGGATGTGTATGGACCTCTACAGTTCCAAGTGTCTTCGCTTATAAATAGTATTTAGTCTTTTTTTTTATGATTATTACTCTCATTACACCTCGATATTTCTTATACGTAAAAAATCGGAACTTTTTCCTCAACTAAATTATTTTCTACCTACGCAGACAAACAGTTTCACCGAAAAATCATAAACTTCCAAACTGACAATGGGCGAGAACTTGATAATCACGCCTCTCGTGCATTCTTCGCTGCCCATGAAATTTACTTCTGTCTCTCTTGCCTATATACTTGCCTCTTTTTGATTGTGACTGGGTGCAATGTGATCAGACGCGCACTATATATGTGATCGGATGCATTTGAATTTCATATTGAACGTACGGCGGACAGTTTGCAGCTAACTTTAGATAGTTGGCTCTCATGTCAAACTCCGTGGATTGGTCTTCACCAGTCTGCGGACGGATATGGTGTCAAGTTTACGGTCAGGTTGGAGATGCCCTAACGACATATAACCAATGTTGGAGATATCGCTTATCGGGAACTTATCGGTCGACCCATGATAAATGAAGACCGGAACCTTGCCGCGCACATGTCTGCCTGCCCTAGAAGGTAGATGCCTCGGAGGCCAGCAGGCTGCAGAAGAGGCCACACATGTACGTGGAATATTGGGAGCATCACCACCGTCGTGTCACTTTCAGTGGACGGCCGGAGCGGATGTTCTAAACACCACATACCACTCCGTGGCTCGAGCCTCGTTGGGCTACATAGCTCCCTGCTATCCTAGCCAAGGGTGACACCCTGTTCTCGAGAAAATAGTTGAGAAAACCGCCACTACTTCTAATATATGTAAAGCTATTACATGTTGTTTCGTGTCGCGCTGCGCATACATGCTATTGCGTTTACTGGTTTTTTTTTGTCTTTTTGAGCTAAACGGTTGCGTTTGACAATTTCGCGGAAAAAAAAAGATTGTGTTTGAGAAAGGAATCGAAGGAAACAAAGTCGTTCGCTCAAACAAGTCAGCATTGGGCCTAAATCGTCCTAACAGGCCCATCAACAGGGTCGCACCGGACCAGATCCGGACAGTCGAATCAATCTAGGAGACGGAGATCTTCTCAAAAAAAAAAATCTAGGAGACGGAGACGGCGACGGACAGGATTTGCTGCACCCCCGCCGAGAGAGAGAATAAGTTCGATCGCCGGAAACTCACGCGCCACCGCAGCAGCGTGACCGTCCGTCCAGGGGAAGAAGATGGGCTCGAGCAAAACCAACTCGCAGCTGGTGTATCTGCCCCACTCTGCCTGGGACGACGAGGAAGATCTCCTGGACTACTTCAACTCCATCTTGCAAGACATGGAGGATCTGGGCCACCGGATGCTATCCACCACGTATGTCCTTGGCAAATCCGACGCCATCGTCTCGCCGTACAAGACCGAGGAGCTCGTCAGGGCGGCATCTATGTTGATGCACATGTCCGAGGATTTCTACAAAGGTATCAAGGAGGCGGAGGCGCCTGAGGGGATCAAGGATAATAAGAATGAAGAGGAGGAGGAGGCGAAGATGATGCGCTCTAACGGGTTCCTGAGTGTCTACCACGATTACTTGGAATGCCCCGATGAGTATGTCAAGGAGAAGGAGGAGGAGGAGAAAAGGAGGAAGCAGGAGGAGGAGCGTGAGAAGAAGGAGAAGGAGGAGCGTGAGAAGAAGGAAAAGGAGGAGGAGCACAAGAGGAAGGAGGAGAAGGAGAAGGCGTTGGAGGAAAAGAAGAAGAAGGATGAGGAGGATAGGAAGAGGAGGAAGGAGGAGTGGATGAAGATGACGGCGCAGGACAAGCACAAGTACAAAGAGGACGAGAAGAAGCGGAACATGGAGAAGAGGAAGGAGAGGAAGGAGAAGGAGGACGAGGAGAGGAGGAACCAGGCGGAGGAGAGGAGGAACCAGGCGGAGGAGTGGAAAAGGGCTTTTGATTATGAGGAGGAGATGGAATCCACAATGGAGTATCTCAAAAATCGGATGGTTATCGAGCAGGATTTTTTTGATGGCTGTCGTCGCATGTGGGAACATGCTCGGGGCTCCGAGATTGGGCGGTGCGGTGCCTTCGAAGATAAAAGTAAGTAAACATGTGCACTCTGCTTACCTCACTTAACTTATTAGTAATTTGTTTAATCAAGGAAATGGAAGACAAGAGATTTCTAACGGTAAGTGTGCACTTTGCTTTGGTCCTGCAGCCTTATTGAGCCCTATGTTCTTTACACACTACACACCCTGTACCATCCCATCATCTGCTGCGGTCACTGGGAGCACCTTGCAAATCTACTCCTTCAGAATTCTTGAACTAAAAGGCAACTTGAACTGGCCACTCTATGTCTACGGCCTGATCGCTGCTCGAGACACCGTGGACCGCAATCGTAACATTCTCTTCAACCGGTCGATGTTTAAATGTCAACTACTCACCCAAAATGTATGTATTGTATCTAGTTTTCTCTACATTTTCTTTTATTTTATTTGGTTCTTCCTGCTTATTTCATACAAATACATAGCCCATTGCAACTAAGGTTTTATTTTTTTGCGAAACCACTGCAAAATAGGTATAATGATATGATGCTTTTGCAGGATCCTTTTTTACGCTTGAGCGGCCCCTCTCGTGCAATTGTAGCTCTGGACCCCGTTGACTTTGAAGTTGAACTAAAACTACATGACGGAGTGGGATGGGACTCCCAAGATAGACCATTGATGAATGTTAGCAACCGTTATGATGGTACTGATCGTACCATTCTCTTCCACAGCTGCTGGTGTACAGCAGAGTTAAGCCTTCAGCGACTTGCTACAACGGTCCAGGCCACTATTGTTGGTGTTCGCGTGGTTGAAGGGGGGTGGCCTTTTAAATATGGAGGTCGAATTGCTTGCTCCCAGTCTGCTGCAGAGGTTATTGAATCCACATCTATGGAAGTTGTGTTGCTGGATTGTCATGGTGAAGGAATGCCTGTTGGACCAAATGGTTACCTTCAGTTGTCAAGGAATGTTGTTTCAGTAGAATTACAAGGAGAATTGAAAGTTGTCATACAAGCTTACATGGAATCTGGTCGTATTGATGACCACGAGGGTCATCTATACTTCCCTCCCAAACATTGTCAAACAAGTACACTTGAATGCTTCATTAGCGACTTCAAGATGGAGATAACCGTTGCTTGGTCCCGCCTGGTCCGAGACAGAATGGATGTGCTGATAGAGGGGCACATCGGCAAGGAGTAGAGGCTATATGTTTTCAAGGAGTGGTGTCATGTTTTTCCAATTATATCTATTTTATTGTTGTCTTTTCACTAAAATGTTAAGTATTTATATATTGACTCGCTATGTCAGATGTCCAACTGTGTGTGTATCCGTTGTACCTTATTATATCCAACTGTTGATGTAATGGCTATAACTTATCTGCTCTGTTGTGTGAAGTATCCGGTTTTGATTAATTGTATTTATGTTATTTCAAATGTCCAAATTGCAATACATTTTTTTTCCTGACTAGTGCATAATTTCAACTTATGGGCTTGTGTTCGAGTAACCTTTGTTAGAAAATGAAGTGCCAGAATATTATAGACTATGTTTTGTTCGATTTACTCTTGTTGATCACTCTATATTGTTGATTCTTTCCATGTATATAATTTTTGTTTGTAAGAATTTACATATATCATAAAAATACAGTTGATGAAATAATGTGGTCCTTGTTGTGTTTTCCTCTTATTTGGGCTTGTGTTTAACATTATAATCCAGTGAAATAACATTAAATAATATATTTTTCTAGTTTTCTTTCTGGTTGCCATGGATGCCCATGACATTCTTGAATCATTTGCATCAAGATTGCCTGTTGATAGATGGGGGAGTTGCAACTTCGAAAATCAGCAGGCCAGTTCAGCACTGGGAATGACAAAGTTCAGGTGAAACCCAACTATTTTGGGACTTTTCTCTCTCCATTGGCGATGAAACTAAATGCCTGAATTGCTGATTGCGATCATGACTCATGAAAAAGAAAATTCTATTGAGGCAGCAGTTTGTCTTGAATGTTATTATTTTGTTCATTGATTTAAGTATCTTCTCTTGTATTCATTCCTCGGTCTTCATTTTCATTTTTGTAATCGGTTATTCAGTCCTTATGTATGCATCACTTTTTAGTTTAGTCCTTTTGATCTTTTTCTTTTTTCCTCATTACATTTTGTTTTGTTACATCTCTCATTCTCCTCATTCAGTTACTGTATTTTTTTTCTCATTCAATTCATTTAGTTATTTCATTATATATATGAGCCATGTCATTCCTCATTCATAATTCTTTGTCCCTATCTTGCTTTCACATATATATAATTATTCCTGTAAGTCAAGGTCCTTCTATGTTTTCCTTCCTTTTACATTCCTTACATTTTTCTTTCTTGCCCATGTCTTCGGATGCCGATTCGTAAAGGAGTGGCCTGTGCATATAGGTGATTGGACAAGGAAGAAGAATCAAGATTGGTCAGGTTTATTAAGCCATTTTCTTGATCCATTGAGTAGAAATCGTCATTTTTTTTGCTAGTTAGTGTGAATGTTCCGAACCTTACTTTTATTATCATGTCCTTTTTTTCTCATTAGGATTTAGTGTGTGTTCTTTAGTCACCAATCTCACAGGTATCAGATTTCAGTAATATCTCAAATCTCTCTCTTTCAATGCAGCTTCCAATGTTTTCATCATGTAAGTCTGTATATCCTTATTTTACATTCTTGCCTAAAGTTTTTGTATTCGATGTGTTTGTTTGTCAGCAACAGGATTGAGAAAGATTTCTATGTCTCTACGCCATAAAAGCCGGCCACAAGATTCAGTTTAAAGTGGATGCCCTCAACCAAGTTTTGGATATGTGAACATGAGCTGGCGAGGGGTTTTCAATGGATGCGAGCCACAGGTAACGCAGTGCACTTCTTCTTCAGATGGCCGGCTCTACTTCGAATCCGGATGGTAGAAATTCGCTTCCGAGATTCAACTCCAAACATGGATTTTCTTGCTCATGGATTTTCATGATAATTTAGCGCTTGATTGTCTATATATCATACTTAAGTTTAGTTAATGTCATTTTTTCAAGGTCAGGGCAGTCCGACTGGACGATGTATGATCAGACCGACTGGACGATGAATTTGACTTTGCGTCTTGCAGGAGGCTGTCGAACGCGTCGCTCAAGGGGTTCATCGCGCCGGAGCTCGGGCAGCTCATCTTCTTGCAAGAGCTGTATGTGCTGCTTCAGTCTGCATTGTGTCCTCAACTGTTCTCTCAAGGGCCTGGTTTCCCTGAATATCTGTGTTTTGGGCAGGTATTTGGATCACAACCTGCTTTTCGGCACGATCCCGAAGCAGCTAGGATCGCTGCGGAACCTCAGGGTCCTGGATTTGGGCGCTAACCGGCTCGCTGGCCCTATACCTCCTGAGCTGAGTGGACTGAACAGCGTGAGCGTAATGTAAGATACCGATTGCTCTGTCTGTACATTTGGAATTCTAAAATTAGGAGTGCTTCGATACAAACCTGCCTCCGCCGGCCAGCAACGTCACGCCGTCATCACGTTTGTCATTGGAAGAAATGGATCCGGCTGAAATCCTCGCCGCCGTGCAAGAGGTTGGTTTGAGACATTGTTGTGCTTGATAAGATAGTTGTTTTAAGAATGATGTTACACGGCGTTTGATTCATCGTACAATTTTTTTTAACTATATATAGTTAGAGGAGGAGGGAGATTATGATGGCGATGATTACGGCGAGGACAACGAAACCTCGTCACGAAATATGGATGAACCTCATGAGGAGAACTACATGAGTTTGGATGAATCTTATAGTGGCAATGTAAGTGTGATCAATGTTGATAAAACAATAAATATGAGGGGGTAAATATGATAAACCGCACGGAAAATTTAATATTGTTGTGCATGATGCAGCGACATGGCGACGACGATGATGATATGGATATAGATGATTCATTTGCTGAAAGTGCACTCCGGATATGTTATTAATAAAATCAGAGAAGAAATGACATAATAACCATATGAGTGCTTACATGTTTTTTTTTTGCAATGCGCGCAGATGGACGAGGACGGAGACTTTGTGAGGAATATTGTGGACGATGAAAGTGACAAATCGCACGTTGATGCATCTCATGATGACAGCTCCAGCAAAGTAAGTTTTGAAACTTACATCACTATAGTACATTTTAAAATTATAACTGACTGACATAAATGGTTTAATGCATTAATTTACAGGGAGATGTAGATGGTACAAGCGGGAATGATGAGCATGTTGGTGATGATCTGTTTAATTTTAACATCGGATTTGATGAATATCAGCAAGAATCATTGGACATGCATTGGAAGGTCATGAGGAAGACGTTCAAGTCACTAGGAGATACTTACAATTTCTATAATCAGTATGCGTACGAACGTGGTTTCAGCGTAAGAAAGGACTCACTGAAATATTCGAAAGGTCCTGAGGCAACTAAGCGCTTGAGAAAGTATGTGTGTGCGATAGCTGGGAAACAACAGGCAAAACGTTGTACAATGGAAGGCAGGACCCGCAGGCTAAGAGGGGAGACTCGTTGCTTTTGCGATGCGCATATAACTTTGAAACTTGATAAAGAGCGTGACGTTTGGTATGTCAGCAGTTTCAATGATGATCACAGTCACGTTCTAGCTAGACCGGATGAAGTCACGTTTCTTCGGTCTCACAATCAAATAAAAGAATATCAGAAGGCTGAGATCTTAACCATGGTAGGTGCTGGAATCAGGAAACAAATGATTTATGATAAACTCGTTGCGCGCTCCGGGTCATATGCAAAGGCTGGTTTTGGGAGGAAGAAGCTCTATAACATGTGTTATAGAGAAAAAATGAAGTTGCTTGCACAAGGTGATGCAGACACTGCCATTGGATCATGATGACCAGAAAAGAGAGAGATCCAGATTTCTTCTTTGAGCACACCGTCGATGATGAAGGAAGGCTGAAAAACATATTCTGGTGTGATTCTCAATCACGTCGAGACTATGTTGACTACGGTGATGTGACAGTCTTCGACAACACATACATGATGAATAGGTATGGCATGCCATTTATACCTTTTGTCGGTCTGAACAACCACCGTTGCACCACGGTATTCGGTTGTGCTCTTGTGTCTGACGAGACGGAAGATACATATGTCTGGCTGCTTTAGACGTTTTTGAGGGCTCACTGTCAGAAGAGGCCCAGGTCATTAATTACTGATGGAGATGCAGCTATGATTAAGGCCATAAGAAAGGTACTTTCGGAGGTTTGGCATCGTCTTTGCTCGTGGCATATTGAGAAGAACATGCAGAAACACCTTCATCATAAGTCTCTAAAGGAGTTCAGGTCTCTACTTTATTATGCCACTTCAAAAAAGGTATTTGAGGAGAGATGGACAGCGTTTACCGCCAAATGGCAGTCGGAGAAAACAAAGACATGGTTACGTAGGATGTACAAGAAGAAAAGGCTTTGGGCTGCATCATATCTGTCAGGTGGGTTTTTCTTAGGTATGCGAAGTAACCAGCGACGTGAGAGTCTGAATTCATGCCTTCACTTGCATCTAGACTCCGGTATGACTATTGTTGATATGATTGTGCACTATGAGAACTGCATAGTTCGTCTCCGTGAGAATGAGGCGCATGACGATTACACAAACTCACAGACAGTTCCAGTACCAGTATTGGATGAGTGTAAAGATATTGAGAAATCAGCTGCCCGTGAGTTCACTGCGGCAAACTTTTATATCTTGTAGGAAGATATGAAGAAGGCACGAGAGCTAGAGGTTCTTGAGAGACTGAGAGGAGCAGACACTCATAGATTCATACTGACATGGAAGGAAAATAGAGATATCAGATTCACTGTGGACTACACCCCAGGTAACTTAGAAAAAACTGTCAAGTGCAGTTGCAGAAGCATGTATCGCAAAGGACTTCCTTGCAAACATATTCTTCACGTTCTGATTCAGCTACGCTTACGTGAGATACCTAAGTGTTTAGTACTGCGGAGGTTGAGCCAAGTTGCAAGGGGTGGACTTCCCGTGAAGCGCACTAGCGATCTGTTTGCATGGGGATGGGCAGGTGCAGGGGACAGAGCTAGGTACAGCGAGTTGTCTATCTTATCTGCTGAAGCAACTCATAAAGCATGTCATAAACCATTTTTATTCGACAAGTTGAAGGCGGCTCTGAGGGACATAATAGATAATGATTACACTGAGGAGGATGAG